TTTAAGGAATTCATTACTCATAGAGTTGTTGCCTGGAGGCCACAAACAAAAATATTGTATTAGACTTAAAATTAATGAATGATTACTCAAAGATATAGAATAGGGAAAAGGTGGATATCAACAAGACAAATGAGTGGGGGCAACAAAGGATACGGCTATTAACCAGGATAATGAACAAGCTAGATTCTCTACAAGAATCATTCTAATACAATTGAAAATATTTCTTAATAATAATTTAACTCATAATGGTGCTTTGTGTGTTATTTTTCCTTTAGTTGAATATTTTCTATAGATTTTGCAGGCTATATTCTAAGTATTAATAAACCGGGTATTCCAGAATCTTGTAAATCTACTGGTCATGTTAAAGTGAATTTCCCCACCTGTAATAATTACGTGGTGTCAGGGTCTTACTTGGGGTGGAGTCCGAAGTGCAGAGATGCATGCTCACCCTTGCAGATAAACACAGTCCAAGGTGACCAGCAAAGAAGCCACCTGGGCAGTTAATCTGTGCACGGGAGCTTTGCAGGAAAAGTGCTCCAAATCACAGTAAATGCAAGGGCACAAGCTGAAGAATAGTCGAGGAATAGCCGAAGTCAGAGGATTATTATCATTATTATTATATTTATATAGCGCCATCAAATTCCGCAGCGCTTTACAATGGGTGGACGAACAGACATGTAGTTGTAACCAGACAAGTTGGACACGCAGGAACAGAGGGGTTGAGGGTCCTGCTCAATGAGCTTACATGCTAGCGGGAGTGGGGTAAAATGACAAAAATGGTAAGAATAGTATTAGACTAGTGACAGTTGCAGAAGTGGAATCAGTCAGGAGCTATTAACAGTTTAATTGATATGCTTTTATGAAGAAGTGGGTTTTTAATGATTTTTTGAAGGAGTGGAGACTGGGTGAGCATCTAACGGAGGAGGGAAGCGAGTTCCAAAGGAACGGTGCAGCCCTCGAGAAATCTTGAAGGCGAGCATCAGAGGTGGGAGTACGGACAGAAAATAGACATAAGTCTTCAGCAGATCGTAAGGGCCTAGACGGGACATACTTGTGTATAAGGGAGGATAGATAGGTGGGAGCAGCAGTATGTAGAGATTTTAAAGCAAGAACCAGAATTTTAATTTGAGCTCTATATTTTATAGGAAGCCAATGTAGGGACTGACAGAAGGGTGAGGCATGGGAGGTGCGGGCGGACAGGAAGATGAGCCTCGCCGCCGCATTCATTATGGACTGTAATGGCGCAAGTTGGGAGCACGTAAGACCACTGAGAAGCGGATTACAGTAGTCAAGGCGAGAAAGGACAGTGGAATGGACCAACACCTTAGTCGCATCTGGCGTTAAGTAGGGGCGGATGCGCACAATGTTTTTGAGATGGAAATGACACGATTTGGCGATAGATTGAACATGAGGCTTGAAGGAGAGGTCGGAGTCAAAGAGAACACCTAGGCAGCGAGCCTGCGTGGTGGAGCTAATGGTAGCACCGTTGACTTGGAGGGAAACAGACACAGGAGTAACAACACTTGAGGGAGGAAAGACCAGAATTTCAGTTTTGGTCAAGTTTAGTTTACGGAAAATGGGCAGCCATCCAGTTAGAAATAGCAGAGAGACAGTCAGATACATTAGTCAAGAGGGACGGGGAGAGATCAGGGGAGGACAGGTAGATTTGCGTGTCATCTGCACAGAAATGATATTAGAAGCCAAAGGCGCTAATAAGTTTACCAAGGGAGGCAGTATAGATGGAGAACAGTATGGGACCAAGGACTGAATCTTGGGGGACACCAACATAGAGGAGTTAGGGAGAAGAAGCAGAGCCAGAGAAAGAAACACTGAAAGAGCGCTGGGAGAGGTAGGAGGAGCACCAGGAGAGAGCAATATCTTGTAGACCAATATTGCAGAGGATGAGAAGAAGGATATTAGGAGATAAGCCAAGGTCAGAAGCCAGGAAGCCTCGAGAATACATGATCAGGAGACAAAACAACAGGAACCAAATACGTCTACAGAATCAAAGAACTGACCCTGTTCTCAGGGAGAGGCTTAAATACCTAGTTAATGAGCAATCTGCCTCAGGTGGACATAGTGTGGCAGGAGCAACTTCAGGAAAAGTCCAGCCCCTAATGCTGCAGACAAGGCAAGGTATAACAAGACTAGAACCTCTCTAAATGAATAGGATCTACTATGGCTCAGAGGCAGGATAGCAGGCCCCAGGACGTCGAAGGATCCAGTTTCAATTTATCTGTTTGGAACCTGTGGGGTGGCCACGCCTAACTGTCTGGATGGCACGGGGATTGCCCTGACTGACACTTGGCTGCTAAGGGTCTTTGTACAATAGTTATTTTATTTAAGTCAGAGCTCTAGAATATTATTAATATTTCCACACAAATGGTGAGACACAATCCTTCCTCTTAAAAATTCAACAAAAACTTTATTATATCAAACAATTAACATTTCTCATTCTTATTCAATCCATTAATTACCAGGTAAGGAAATATTAATTGTGCCTTTCCCTCTATGATACTGATAATGTGTCAGAAAGTCTGTAAGTTAGTATTAGCATAGGATGTCTTTGCTATTCTCCATTTAAATAAAATAAAAAAAATGAACTATTTTTAAACCCAGTTCAACAACTTCCCTCAAGGCCAGCAACATTTCCCCTGTGAGCTTCCCCTAATGGTTTATATGCAAGTCTAATTCTATATCCTTCATTCTGTAAACCCTCTCTTTTGGATTATTTGCAAAGTGAAATCAGAACTGTCACAATTGCACCTTAATGCACGTGAATTGCCTCTAGGCCAATCAAATTACAGATCTCAAGTTAATGACTAAAATGTTATCAAGACTCTCATTGGCTGGTTCTGATTATGACTTCTCAGGTGAACAATGGACAGTCATCTGGCTGGTATCAAAGTCATTTATGCTATGTCTCTTTAAGTGTGCAGAGGTATGTTCATTTGCTCTGTTTTATGGGTAACACTTGGGGAATGGATTGGTATTTTTTAATTGAAGTAGGTTGTACAATACTGCACCTTTAATATGAAGTATTGAAATAGAATAAAGATACATTAATTTCAATGACTATTTTGCTGAAAAGAGAAATCATATCATCTAGCCATGGTACAAACACTGCTAACGGTTATTCTATTTGGATGAATGAAACGATAGGTTATATTTGCCAGCTCTGTATTTCTTACTAAAAACACTTCAGATAACAATTGATAAACAAAAAGCAAATTCTACTACACTATTTTACCTTGCTGTTAAACAAATAATTTAATATATAAGATAACAAGCATGTCTTCTATTGGGTTCTACGTTACAAAATGTCAGCATGTGTAACGTTACAAAATTGAACAGCTGTAGTTTGTTAAAGTATTACAAGAGTGCAAACAATTATTTGCGGAAGTGCTTTATGTGTGAAGAGTTTGTCCTTTATTTTATTTTACAAAAAATGCAGATTTCAATAGAAATTTGCACTTTTAAAAATGAACCTTGTTACATCCCCATGACTGTCAATTGAGACAGGTAATGTTACTTCCTGGTTTGGTTAGTTCAGTGAAGCTAAACTCAAGAGTCAGACAATTGCTCAGAGCTCATTGAGCTGCATTGGGAAGTCTGTGACTGGCACAGAATGTCTGGGCGGAGTTAGAAGGGGGTGGAGGTTGCAAAGGCTTCAGACAAGAAATCTTTTTTTAGATATAGCCCTAATGAAATTACCCCCCTCCTGACCAAAGATGTAAATTTTTCGTTGACGGAAACTTGACGGAAAATTTCCATCATTTACTAAAGTTGACCCCAGATCGCCCCGATTATGGGGTTAACGCTCCTCCGGTCTGCTTTGGTATTCAAAGCAGGCCGGGAGCACCCTATCGCGCTGTCCCTGCAGCTGTGATCGCTCTGACAGGCTGTGTGAAGTGCAGGAGAAGGATCAGCAGTGATCTTCTCGTCGTCAAAAAAAAAAATAAAGTTTAAAGTTAAATCCCCCCCTTTCCCCTGCTTTAATAAAATTAACCACTTCCATGCCAATTGATCACTGACTACAGTGATCAACTGGCAATGACTACATTTTACGGTCATCTGATTTTTTATTTTTTTTTAACCCCCGGAGGGTTAAAAAACATTCTTTAACCTTCAGGACAGGGGGAGCCCACCAGGAAATATGCCGGTGGGCGCTCCCAGCAGGCCGGTGCCCTAGGCGAATGCCCTGATGCTTCCAGTTCAGCTACTCTGGCCTTAAATTTGGAATTCACTTTGATATAACCCAGATAACCCTGTTAATCTACCCACAAAATTGTTTTATTCCCATGATCTCAATAAAATAATAAGACCAACATCCAACATTTTTGAAACATTTCCACTGTGCAGTTTCTTCTGAGAAAATAAATGCAATTGCAAAAAAAGAATGCAAGTACTTTAAAAAAAAAAAAAATATATATATATATATATATATATATATTTTTTTTTTTTTTTTTCTAAATCCTACCAGGATGACAAAACACATCCTTGCATGCCAGAGGTGTCCTAAAGACATTTCTTATGTTTGTAACTAAGGAGATATCTGCTAGCTGGCTTTTTCCTGGCTAAGAGTAATGAATTATATGTATAACGTTTCATTTAATGTGTATTTTGATATTAATATAAAAATACACTTAGAATCTCTCTCGCTATCTTTATATATAAACTTAATTATACCTGTATATTATGTATTTATGTATTATTTCTGTGATTTTATTAATTATAAATTGGGGAACTTACCTCACAAGCCAGGCAGAACGATGAGAGAATTTAATTTGCAAGCGCAATATTTGACCCTGTAACTTTCCAAAACTCCATAAAACCTATACATGGGGGGTACAGACATCGCTAAATACAAATATAAGGGTTTTAGAGCAGTTAAACGTTTGATGTTGATTATATTATCGGTAATAAGGGCAGGTTTTGTGTTAAAGATGCAAAAATAAACAAATATGAATGCTAACTTTGGCCACTGATTGTGACTAAGTGGCTACTAAAAAAAACTGGACATAACCCATTTCCAATACAAATGTTATGCCATGATGGGGTTAAGTTACATTCCTGGGCTGCCGTACAGTCCCAAAGGCAATAAAGGCCAAGCAAACCAATATGGCAAATTTCAATGTGCAAAAACTGAAAATAGAGAAGCCCTATATTTAACCCTGTAACTTTCCAAAATCCAATAAAACCTGTACATGGGGGTTACTGTTGCAAGCATGTGAAATGAAAAGCCATATTTCTGCTGAACAAAATGGTACATAATACGTGTGTGTGCACTTAATATGAAGAAGGTAAATTATGGTTAAAGACATATAGCTATGGTTATAGACATCTAGGTTTTGTTTTAGTTCAGAACTTGTACAATTGCTTCCATCCTTACGGGGTTAAAGATGGGTAATATACAAAAACCATACATATCTCTACTTACAACCTCCCAATAAAAGAACACCCTTGTAATCATTATTGTTTTATATTTCTAATGTATATACTTGGCTTTTGTCTCTTAGTGTGCTTTGACCAGTTGCAATTTGCTACTTGTTTTTGTTGCATAGAACATTTTGAAAGGAACTTGGCAGTGATTCTGTTGAGGAGCTGAACACAACGGAAACAAAGGCTTCATTATGTTGCCACGAATTGATCACAACACAGAAAACCTGTCTAAGACTCGGAACCAATGCAAAGACCCCTTGGAAAAGAGAGTAAAGACACATACTAATTAACTATTTTAGTTAAGGTTTTAAAAGTAGTTATTGACAGAATAGAGTGAACATTATATGAATATAAAATGTAAAAAGTTATATTATATAGAAATAAAAGAGAAGAGAATGGGGAGGGAAGTAGAAAAACTAGTCCCAAAGTAAGACTCAATATGGAGTTCACTTTTCAATATTTACGTGGTTAATTAAACCCAAGTGTTTACAGTGATTCTACCAATTTATTTACACAATTCTAAATAGTACTTTATTTATAAGTGTGGTAGTAGATTAGCATAATTGTAAGGACCCTCCTTGGGGTCTCTGTTTTACTATTGTAGAATTTACAAACTATGAAGACCCATAAATCAAGAAAAATAAAGCAGTTCTTCTATAAATAATAGGAAAATGGATCCTACAAAGCTAATAAAGATTGTAAAAAAATATATTTTACAAAAATTCCATTGTAAAATATTAAAAACTATACAAATCAAACAGATAGTTGGATAATTGAGGGGATTTATACCGATAACACTTATGTATACAAATTTAACTCATGTGCATTTTCCATCTCTAAATTATTTTACAGCCCTCTAAAATTTGAATCACTGTTCTAGCCTGTCTTACCCAGTACATAGGGCCTACTGTGAGCATGCTCCCTCTCTTATAGGGTAAATGAATGAATGTCATCTCTTCACAAATGTAATGTGCTGCAGAATTGTACTATTCACCATACTAATATTTAAAACGAACACTTCAAACACCATAACCACTACAGGGCTCTTTTCAACCTACCTCCAGCTGCTGCATGTTCTCACAAAGCTTTCAGCGCAATCACAGCTTTAAGAAAGTTAGGCTGAGCAACAGTTGGCTAGATAACAGTAAACAGTACATTTTTGATTACTCGTTTTAGATAACAGTAAAGTCTGACCCAACATGGCTCCTCAGCCAGATAAAAAAGTAACATTTTCTAAAAAAATGTATAATAATATTTAATCTATATACATCATTAAAAAAATAATAATGCATTTCATTAAATGTGATAAAAAAGAAGTAGAAATCTGTCCTTTATTTTGCTTTTCTAGACAGCATGGAGTATGGCATACAACGCTGTCCTACCTGTTTTGTACATAAACCATTTGTAAAGTTTGGTCCTTTGATTGCCGTATCAATAGAGAACAACATGAACATAAAATTTGACATGCTGACACACATATACTGGAATAATGTTTTAAATGTTTAGATTTCCATAAAATGTCTTGTAATGTTGACATTATTTAATTTCTATAGATAGTAAATCCTGCTAAGAGGCCTTACCGTCTACCACCTCTATCCTCCACTTCAAGCCAACTAAATGACCATCCTTTAGAATGTAGCTTCAGGTAAACATTTTATCATCTTTTTTTTATTGTTCCAAATATTGTAGATTTGTTACACACATTATTCAGGTGAGCGTGAGGTAAAAGAATAGTGACCTGTGGGAGCAAGGTGATGATACAGGGGTGGGGGGGAGGGGATTTAGTGGAGGTGATAGCACTGCATTGAGGCAGAGATGTATACACAGTGATAGGGAGAGGAGAAAAAGACAAGTTTTGTTTGTTATACATTTTATTAAATAAAGCCATAAACCGATATGTTTTGAGTTTACCTTATTATACACTAGGGACCTCACTTGCACTCATACAAAATGCTAGCATCTTTCTGAGGTAAAAGCCAGCATTAGCAGGTTTGAGGTAAATGTTTTATTGTGTTGTTCACTTTCTACATTTTAGATTTATTTCTAGCACAGTTCGTTCTACAATGTTCACATTTATTGTTTGATGTTGCTAAGCAGCGCAAGTCCCTGGTTGACCGTTTTTAAAACATTTTAAAAATTTTCAACTAATAAGAGGACATAGATACAAATTTGCCAGCATTACCAGCATTAGCAATGTGTGAGATATTCAGTTCAAATGATAACTATTGTAATCTAATTGCAGTTGATCCATTACCAAGGCAAATTATGTATATTCAATATTATGTCAAATCTGATTACTTTCTTTTCTAAGATCTCAGAAACAAACCACAGAACATTTTTTAGGATGCTGAATGTCTTTGTGTTCATAATGTTACTGTAAAAAAACATGTAGTGCTTCTCTACAGATTAGCAACACAGGAAACGAATAGTGAATTTCCAAATCATTTCAGTGAGAAGAGAGAGAAAAATGGATTGCCAGCACTGTACAATAAACAACCATATATGGGATTACCCAGTATTGATGGCAAAGATACTGGTGAGCATATTCTGATTATAAATCATTTGGACTTGGGAAGATAGGCACATGGAGCTTGACTCTGTCAGGGTTATTCACTTAAGTACAAATTCAAAATAGATTTTTAAATTTAAGGACAAAATAGCCAAACTATAGCCAAGCTATGCTTTCAGTTTGGCTACTGTGGCTATAAATGTGAAATTCACTTTGAATTTTCACTTCAGTAAATAACTCCGTTTGTATTAGAGTTGATTGGGAAAAACAATATCTTTATATTTATTTCATTACAACTTAATAAATAAATATTGCAAATGAAAAATTACGACTCTTGAACTGTTCCTCTGTATTTCAGAGTTAATGAGTGCAGGCTCCAGTGGGTATAACTTGTCAGGTGTTGCCAAGCAACCTCTACTCTTACCAGATGCAATGAAATCCAGATCTTCAACTGCTATTACAAAAAAAGATGATTTTCAACATGAGCAACATGATCTAGAGCAAATATTTGAAAATGTGCCAATGTAAGTAACCAATCTTACTCAACTGGCATGGGAATCTACAGAGTGTGGTCAACCTTGTCATGACTCGTATTACATCTGCTAGTTACATCATGGCAGAATCTGTTACTTAGACATGCTTTACATGAACGTCAGCATAGTTTATAGCATCTAGAATTATTTACTATGTAAATACCTTTCTATGGCTCATACTAAAGGTTAAAAGGCATCTCAGGAAGGGCCTGTGAAATAATGGGATCCCCCCTGTGCCCCCACCCTTGGGCATCAGGAGAAGGCTACTTTAAATATTTATGGGGAACAACCTAGTGTCCCCTCTCAGGCTCCCAGTCTTTGGTAAAACAGGTGAACTGACATGCCATTGTTCCCCTTTCAAATAATAACGTCTCTCTTCTTTGGTGTCTAGGGGTCGCTAATTCCAAAGCCATCCCCAGTGAAACTAATTAAAGTCCCTACCTCCCTCCCTCCCTAACAATAGTGAGGAAGGGGCCTATAAATATAAAACCTGCTTTAAAAAAAATTATACTTTACATCAGATATTTTCTTTCTTCTAATTCTTGAGCCCCAAAAAAGGTCAAATAAAAAGGCAGCAAAAAATCTAAACCAAACCACAATAAAAAAACAATCCATCTTCACCCATGGAGGAATTGCTGCGGAATGAGCTCTGATAGCAGGGATAATCCTTAAATAGACTTTACCAAGATATCTCATCCATTTCCCCACACTTTGCAATATGACCAAGAGCTCTCTGATTGGTTGGTCAGTAAGCCAACCAATCAGAGAATTCCAACAGCCAGATCTCGAGATAAGTCTCACTTCTCATCACCCATGGGTGAGGGCCGGGTGGAACAGTAGATCCCCCCCCCATTAATATTAGCGTAGCCCCCACTTGATACCCATGGGTAGGGGTACTATGTCCTTCCTGCTATTTTACAGCCCCCATGTCTGCCAGTGACTAGTTTAAAACATTTTGTAGATATTTTTAGAGTCCTTTTATAAAATCTGGGCCCAGAGTGAATTAACCCAAGCCCTAAATTTAATTAATTCGTCCGGATTTCAGATGTCTGTAATCCGGACAAATTTCAACGCCTGATTTACACAATCCGGACATTGTTAAATTCTACATTCTTAATGCAGCTGGATAGTTTTGCCCTATTAAGTACGAATCTATTTGAACGTCAGTGAAAAACTGTGTTAGTACTCAGGAATCAGACACACTTTTTAACAATGTTAATTGGCAAAAGTTTGCAAAAATTTGTTTTTGCCTTAAACAAATCAATATGTCTGATTTGAAATCCTTTTAATCCATGCTCAAGCAAGTCAATTCATGAAGGTAATAATTTATTTCTGGACAAATCAATTTGTTTAGGTGTGCATAAAAAGGATTTTGATTTGGACAAACTTATTTATTAATATATGTAACAAATTTTAGCAAAAATCATATAGTTTGCATGCCTCCCAGCATTGGGAGGTATGAGATTGGTATGCCGGGTTACATTGCCAGTGCTGCAAAAGGAGGCAGGATCACCCACTGAAGGGGCATGTCAGTCTGTTAAGTATGTTTGGATGATAAAATGTATCCAGGCTGGCCCCCGACATATACAGGACCATACAGAGAGGTTTGCTGAAGTACTCTCTGCACAGTCCTCCTAGTGTCCTGTGCTGCCTGGTCTTCTTGAATGTGGGATACCAGGTAACTAAAAGTTGTTACAGCAGAACAGGGCCCTAAAATAGGGACAGTTTCACCGTGGCGGCCTCCCCGATGAGTAGAGGGGTTCCCCCGCCAGAGATGTTCTTTTACCCCTAGTGGGAGGGATGCTGTAGAGCAGAGCAGGAACAGCTCTTACAAGAGCTAGTGATTAAGCACTCCAAGCAGAAGAGAGACAGCTGTTATAGTATTCTCCCACAAACATGTGAGAGCTCTATGCTGTGAGATAACTAATTTTAATGGAGCCACACGCTGCCTTTTATGTCAATCCCCATGCAAGGGGCTCTCCCCTCTGGACCTGAGAGTAGACTACAGTACAGACAATCATACAAAGGCATTGGCTCTCAGGTCCAGGTCACTCCCATGCACAAACAATGTAATCCCTCCTCTGTGCTTGGGAGATAATTGAATCGGGCACTGTACTCACATAATCCAATTATCTCCAAGCACGCTGCTCTTTTTAAATGAATCTATACGAACGTATGAAGGTATGGAAGTCCTAGCGGTGTTCGCGCTCACGAGTGTCCGATTATAGTTCCATGCACTCGATGACCAAAACAGCGTTGTATGTGTTCACGGCTAAAGATGGCCGCCACCACGTGTTGTATACCGAATGCCGACCACCTAGCCAACTGCTTAGAATACTTGTGGTTAGAAGGTGTTTCAGAGGTGATAGAGGATGAGAGGCACACTCCAAACACGGGTGGTCTGGTCGTTCGGTAGTTTGTTAGGTAGGGGAATAAATTAGGAGTAAACTAAATAGAAGGCAATGTCCTGAACTCATAAGGGAATAAAATGAAGGGGTTTACAATCCAAGGACAGGGTGATCCGTCACATCCACCAAAATAGGAACAGTTGGGAAGCCTGGTTTAGTGTTTTGGAATGCAAATAAATTATTATAAGTATAAGTATTTTAAGGTAAGATTTTTGGTGGTAATTGCATCTAAAGTAATATTAAATCTTAAAATATGTCCTTACTGGATTAATAGTGAAACAAAATGGTTCCTGCTGCTTTGTTTCCAGTACCTACCAATTTACCACAGCATTTTTGGCTGTAATGTAAAAGTTTACAGGATTTGTGTTTATTTGAAACTAGTTTATAGATTGACAATATTTTACATTTTTTAAAACTTCTCTTAATCGTGCAACGGAGACATAGGCTATACGCATTTTAAGTCAATCATTATGTAGAGATGTGGGGGAGATCCTACATATACCAGATGTTTTTCCATCAGAAAAGTCTAGGGATGTTGGCAATCCTTTCCCCTCTTCTAGTTCCCTCTCTTTCATTTTTTTTTATTCTTTCAAACTCTATTTTTTGTTTTGGTTTTACAAAGTGTTGATATGGGCTTCATTTGAATTTAAATCCAAATGGTAACATTTAGGTCTCAATAGCTGATAATAAAAACAATCACCATGCAAAATAAAATAATAATAGAGTCAGCAAACTAATTTTAACATTAAAGGGACACTATAGTCACCAGAACAACTACATCTTATTCAGAGATATTACTAGAAACCACGGGGCCCCAGTGCGAAAGTTACCCTGGCCCCTCCCCCCATACATTTACCCCCCAGCCCATATACATACAGACACACACATACAAACACACACACAGACACACACATACAAACACACACACACACAGATGCATACATACAAACACACACACACACACACAGAGCCCCGAGGGGGACATGCCCCCCAATGGAAATTGAAGTCGGGCGCACTGCGTCTCTCTTCACAGGCTGCAGCAGCACTGTCACTGTGGAACTCTGTTCCACCATTTTCCCACATGCAGCCGGAGGGGGCACTGTGCTGGGAGGACTCCCTCCTGGGTTACAAAGAGCAGCTCTGCACAGAGACATCCAGGCAGCTGCTGGTGTGAGTCAGTGTGAATGGTTCAGTCTCTGTGTGTGTGGGTCAGTCTATGTGTGGGAGTTCAGTCTGTGTGTGTGTATGGGTCAGTCTGTGTGTGTGTGGGGGGGGTCACTCTGTGTGTGTGTGGGGGTCAGTCTGTGTGTGGAGGTGGGAGTTCAGTCTGTGTGGGGGGGTGAGAGTTCAGTCTGTGTGTGGGGGTGGGAGTTCAGTCTGTGTGGGGGTCAGTCTCTGTATGTATGGGTCAGTCTGTGAGTGGGAGGGTCAGTCTGTGTATTTTTGGGTCAGTCTGTGTGTGGGGGGGTCAGTCTATGTGTATGGGTCAGTCTATGTGTGTGGCGGGCTAAGTCTGTGTGGGTATGGGTGTGTGCGGTGGGTCAGTCTGCATGTGTATGGGTCAGTCTGTGTGTGGGGGGATCAGTCTGCGTGTGTGTGTGTGTGTGTGTGAGTCAGTCTGTGTGTGTGAGGGGTCAGTCTGTATGTAGGGGGGGTCAGTCTGTGTGTGTGTGTGTATGGGTCAGTTTGTGTGTGTGTGGGGGGATCAGTCTGCGTATGTGTGTATGGGTCAGTCTGTGTGCAGGGGGGTCAGTCTGTGTGTGTGTATGGGTCAGTCTGTGTGTGCCTGTGTGTATGGGTCAGTCTGTGGGTTTGTATCGGTCAGTCTGTGTAAGTGCTAGATACCTCTCATTTTGTGACCTCCCCTGTACCCGATGGATAGGCAGCCTTCTCAACCACCATGGATCTGATTGTGCCACCCCTTCCCTGAGAGGTAAGATCAGGGACAGGGTATTTTTTAAATTATTTTTTAAAAACAATTAATAAAGTAAAAATTGTAAAGCTCTTCCCTATCCCACTATGGGTGTGTGTGTGTGTGGGTCAGTCTGTGAGTGGGAGTGTCAGTCTGTGTATTTTGGGTCAGGCTGTGTGTGGGGGGGTCAGTCTATGTGTATGGGTCAGTCTATGTGTGTGGCGGGCTAAGTCTGTGTGGGTGGGTTCAGTCTGTGTGTGTGGGGATCAGTCTGTGTGTGGAGGTGGGGGGTTCAGTCTGTGTGCGGTGGGTCAGTCTGCATGTGTATGGGGAGATCAGTATGCATGTGTGGTTCAGTCTGTGTGTGTGAGGGGTCAGTCTGTGTATGGGTCAGTCTGTGTGTAGGGGGTCAGTCTGTGTGTGTGTGTGTGTGTGTATGGGTCAGTCTGTGTGTGGGGGGGATCAGTCTGTGTGTGTGTATGGGTCAGTCTGTGTGTGCCTGTGTGTATGGGTCAGTCTGTGTAAGTGCTAGAGCTCCAAGAGAGATACCTCTCATTTTGTGACCTCCCCTGTACCCGATGGATAGGCAGCCTTCTCAATCACCATGGATTTGATTGTGCCACCCCTTCCCTGAAAGGTAAGATCAGGGAAAGGGTATTTTTTAAATTAATTTTT